TTTTGGGAGGTGCGGGACGCACAGTGCTATGTGCGCCGTGGTGCAGGTTATAACGATTGAAGACATCACACATCGGCCTAATAAGATAGTGGATGAGTAAATCACAGTGACTCAGCGGCCCATTAGGTGGGAGGACTAGTATCTGGTGTCTACAAGGAGCCCACCACATTGGGTATAACTTTAACATTGCGATTGTCCGGACTCAATCTTGTATCATTGTCGATAATCTATCACTCAGAAGCCAACTGAGCTTCTAGTGTGGAAATTATGAAATTTATCTAATCTACCGAGAAGGCGTAAACATGCTTAACTCAATGGTTCACTAGACAGTATTTGAGAGAAGAGATTAATGTCTAAAGTTCGACCATCACAATATAAGTATTATATTCAAAGTGAACAAATTTCAGGGTGAAGTTTGAGATTAACCTTTTGGAAGAAGCAATAATAAGTAAACCATTAATTTTGGGGGTTCAACACTTCAACCGTATGTTTTCAATGTTAACTGACAGACTGAGGTGGATCATTCTAGTTGTCTGTCATCTTACAAAAATTTTAATGAATAGGCCGGTACGTACTATACAGTCTGACCAATCACCTAAACAAGCTACCTAGGCAGCAACCTATATCTAATTCTCTCACTCTGCACTGCTAATTGCTGCATGTGATTCATTTATTCAATCCTACATTTTATAGCTCAAACTTTTACTCTGTAGTCTATTAATTTTGATTTGCGGGCAATTTGCAATCTTCTAGAGATGTCAACTGAGCGGGGATATACCCTCATCCCTGCCCCCGATTTTCTTTCACATTCTCCATCCCCGCTAGGGAAAGGAAAAATCTCCCATTTCCATTCCCATCATCACGGGGTTTGAGATGGGAATTGAAATCCCCATCCCGTTTATAATAAGTTATAAAAAGTTTAAAATTAAATATTAAAAAATTATTTAAATAAATAACGCATATATATTCATCTCCAACTTAAATAATATTCAAAAGATCCCTGATCCCCTATTTTGTCTTCATCTCCGTCCCCGTAGGAGCGGAGAATTGGTTTCCCCGTCAGGTTCGGGTACAATTGACATTCCTACCATCTTCACCTGAATATGTGTTTTGGACGAAATTTGCTTTGTGATTCTAACTTACAAAAGACCACAAAAATATATAAATCAATCTAAGTTGTCAATACATGACCGGTTCAAATCAAGCAGGCCAGGTCAACAATAAACTTTATGAAGAATCAAACTTTAAACTTTGTCGTTTCTGAATTGTCCAACCAACTCGATTAAAATTGTTCCATCATAGAATTAGTTGATTGGATTTTATCTTTACTCAAATTTCATTTATTATTATTATAATATTTTTGTTAATGCCATATGACACATTAACTAGTTAATTATATTACAACATATTCATTTTGTGATAACCTCATAAAGTATGATAAGAGTATTTTTCAACTTTCATTGTTTCATTGTATCTGTTAATCTATACTTTCTCAACCTGTTGAAATATAAAGAGTCAACACCGCTTTCACTGAGACTTGATCTCAATCTGTTCATCTTTTCTATATAACCTTTCATTGGATATATATAAAAGATTATAATTAGTACAGTTGTACTTGGCTATTGTGAAAGTCAAATTTGAGTTAGCTTTTTCCTCCATCATATACTTTTATTTTCTTTTCACATTGTTTAAAAAACAAAAATCTTGGGACGTAAAAAAAAAAGTATTTTTATGTTCTCTTCTAGGTAGAAAGAAATTTGCTTATAGACATACTATACGCACATCAAAATGTCCCTAAATTATTTTCAAATACCAATATTTTGACATATTTGACAAGTTTTTGCCAAATTAGTGATCATTGTGATCGGATAAAATGTGTCTAAAATAACATATATGCATTAAAAGTAGAAAATGGAAAATATTGGGTCAGAAATAATGTCATGACCTAAATTAAAATCGTGAGAATAAAATTGATATATTTTTCAATATTAAATTAAACTCGAAAATTTTGAAAATAATAGACACAAATTGAATTCAAATAGACCACATGTGCCACATCCATTCAAAATTGGTCCAAGTATTCAAGACCCATCTCAATAATTTTAAAATCATGAATATAATATTGATGATTGATGAATCTATCAAAGAAGTTTCAAAATCGCTATCATATCTATAATTGTGTGTTGATACTCAACACCTTTGGCCTAACAAAATGTGGCAAGGACATCTCAATGCACATGCCCACAAAGGAATTTGAGCACCAAGCCAAACCACCAAATAATTAAACATCTTTCATATATTTCTCGAAAGCAACTGTTTACCTGATTTCCCAATAGGATCAAGATCTATGCATGACATGTCATATACAAGTTCAAAGAATAATAATAATATTATTAATAATTTATACTCCATATATTTATACTCTACTTATATATTGCATATGATCGACTATAATCAAACACATAATTTTTTTAAAGAGTTAATACCTGATTTGGTCCCTCGACTATATACATTTACCTAATTTGATCCCCCGTTAGGAAAATCGTTAAGTGACTGTTAAACTAAAGGAAAAAATTGAAATTTCAATAGTTGAGGGACCATTTTGCATATTACTTCAATAGTCGAGGGACTAATTTAGGAAGTAACTCTTTTGAGAATTTTTTTATGTCGACATTTTTTCCTTATTAATTTTTGAACAATAGTAAAAGAATCACACTATGATCAAACACTAATTGTGTGTCTATTTTATACTTTCTTTTCATTTCCAAGATTTTATTTTTCACTTAGATGAAGATGAAAATATGTGTTGTTTCATCAAAATCATAGTTCATTCACAAGTTTTAATATGATAACATGCTAAGTTTTTACATCAAGCTAGCTGTGAAGTTATAACTAGTTAGTGTGTTCTATTTGAGCAATTAACATACATTTATTGCACAATTTTAAGCCATACAATATAAAATATTCACAAAAATACAACATGATGACTTTGGACAATTGATAGTCGAGCTTGAAATGAGTTTGGATAGTTGTGAAATTCTTGTGCCCAATACTTGATTATTGTGTGTGTGTACGAGCATGCATGTGATTTAAATAAGTTTATGAGTTATTTTGAGTATTATATGGGTAATTCTTAAATTGGTCTTCGACTATTGAAATAATCTCCTTCAACTATTAAAATTCCAATTTTACCCTCAAATTTAATTGTCATTTAACAGTTTTCCTAACAGAGGACTAAATTGGTACAAAATCAATAGTCAAATGACCAAAATATACAACTTTTTAAATCAAGGACAAAATTAAATAAATGTGCATACTCAAGGGACCAAATCAGGTATTATTTTTTTATTTTTTTTTTATTTTTAAACAATTTATTGGTGTTAATATATCCACCTAGCATAAAAGCACTAGATAACTAACCCAAAATTATGCATAATATATAAATATAAACAATCATGCAATAATGGATAGAAGAAACAATGATTTCTACCTGAAAACCTAAAAGAAAAAGTACAAGTCTTTTCAAATGGAATAGAACCCAAGCTCCACTGTATTTATTGATGATTTGTACATGTACATGATAATATAGAATTTGCAAATTAACTATCAAATTTGTATTGTATTGGCAAGAGAGAAAGGATGTAACATGAAGTGATAGAGAAAACATTGGTCGTGGGTGAGAGAATATTGTGAAATATGTGGTAAAATAAGTCAAAATTAACTAATAAACTAATTATGTTACCAAACAGGACCATTATATGTATAATCTAAACACAATTGAAAAGTATTCAAATCGACCATATATCTTCATAACTATTATGACATTTTCAGTATTAAAAACAAAGCAATTACTTTAATGTGAAAGTGAAAAGAAAAAATGAGAGGTACACGATTGCCAAGACAATGCAAAGAGCAGTAGAATTATTGCTTTCATCAAACACATGGTGGTTCATGAATAGGTAGTGGTAGTCTATATATGTATCCATATTGGAATATGTAACCAAGTGAAAAAAGCTGAATTAGAATTTGGCCGTGCAGATTGATAGGTAATATAGAACAAAAGTAATGCACAGATAATGAAACGTAAAAAAGGGCATGAAGATAAAAACACATCCTTTTCTTCTTTTTTCATTCTTGTCTTTTTCTTTTTGTTATTTTTCATTTCTTACGTATACACATTTTCCCCCATCACCTCCTTTATCAGTTTTAATCATCTTTTTCCTCTTAGCTTTCATCTTCTTTTTGTTCCGAAAGTGTTGAGCATGTGACCATGCTTGAGTAGATGGGATAATTATATTTAATTTCTACAAAATTCCATTAATAATAATTATATATAATAGTAGTACTAGAAAATTTCAAGCCTAAGATCAACCCCAATACTTAAGTTTTTTTTTTTTTTTTGGTTAGGTTTTGTCTTGCAAAGTGGGAGAGAGGGGAAGAAAGAAAAGAAAAAGAGAAAAGAAAACCCAACAAGAGAAAATATATAATAAAAAAAAGTTGAAGAGACTTTAAACGCGCGCGCTTAGTGGGTGCTGCTGTTTGGAGCACCAACGTTACGCTTCTTTCCTTTATTTGCGTGGACCCACAAAAAAACTCACACTTGTGAGCCGGGGGCAAACTATTCTCTTCTATCTCTGCAACATACGAAAATGCCTAACAAAAATCCAAGACAAATTATAGTTGGAGCTGGTCTAATGCACTCTTATTCGAGATCAAGGGCGAAAAGTAAGGGGAAAAGGAAAACAAATAAAAAGTTATGCTTTTCACATCAATAGTTGTGACGAGTGAATGTCTTGTTCACGTCTTGAAGTTTTATTGGTTTGCGTGTTCAAATCAAGTAAATAATTTGGACGTTGTTTAATTATCGAGTTGGTTATAGTAGCATTTTATTTTGAAAAAGACATATGCAACATTGATTTTTTTTTAGACAGAATATACGTTTCATTGTTGAGTTAAATTGGATTTTGAATATGATTGATGGACTAAAAATCGTACCACAATTCAACCAATGGGTCCGATATGCTACACATAGAATGGGTGAAATTAAAGGAGTATATATTCGGTAAAACAATATAATATATCCTTGATTATATTGATTTAAAGGCGAGAGAGAGAGAGAGCACAAGACTGGTGGTGAGTGAACTAATTGAATGCAACTATTATATATCTATACCGGCCTAACGTTAGCCGCTATCAAAGGAGACTAAGATGTCGTGTTCTCCTGTTGTTAGGACTTAGGACCAGATGAGAGAGAGAGAGCGTAGCCATAGAATACCTCGGGAACGAAGCTATGAGTATTCCATGTTTCCACCTTTTCCCCTTTGTTGCTTTCTGTGTTTTGTGCCTACTTCTCTTTCTTTACCTCTCTTTTCTCTACCTTTTTCTTTTCCTTTTTTTTTTTTTTTTTTTTTCTCACTTTCTTTTCTTCTCTGCTCTGAAAGTCTCAGTGGGTACCTGATTCTCTTTTCACCAGCTCCCCAGTCAGAGACTACAATGATATCAAAATCATTTCTTCTACATACCTCTTTTCTTCCCTTTTTTAAAATAATATTTCTTCCCCCCTTCAATTCATTACTGCCCAGAAGGCCTTCCCAGAGTGAACTCAAGATTAGGCTTGTTTGATCTTGTCTCCATTGTAGTTGTAATGTTTGATGAGTTCATCTCTGCAGACATTCTTTCATAACCAAACAACCTTGGATCCTTGTCTTTCTGTCATATACATATATATGTACAATCATAAGTATATGGCAGTACACATAAAAGAAGTGTGTATGATAAAAGAGATTCCTAAGGACAATTTGACTATATAGGAATAATATTTACAGATCAGAGAATTTACATCATATTGTACAAGCTAGATGCAGCCTCTTTTTTGTTTTTTTAGTGACCAGAAAACCCGCAGCCACTATTCGAAGGTGTATAATGGGTAAATCATACCCTGTAAACTCAGCCAGCTGACCAGATAAACCAGTTTGACCAACTTGACTGGGGTTAACTAGCATGACCAACTTGGCTGGAATTACCCGCTATATGTAGCTTCTTACTTTATGATATATACAGTGCATATAAGTTGTGTGTGTGTTGCAGAAACGGTTTAAGTTTAAACAAAATGGAGACGACAGAAGAGTATGGAATGGTGATGATAGCATAATTAATTAGTTAATGATGAAGATTAATAAAGCGACCTTAAATTAGCTTTAATTTGACCCCAAAAGCAGACCAGACATGCACCAGAAAATGACATGTTTTTAAGATTGTAATCCCTTTGCTTTAAATAATTCTGTACCCTTCAAACTTGAAAAATGAGGCGATGATGCCTCCTAGCTAGCCCAGCTTTACAAAAGCTTGTCTTTTTCTCACCCCTTCAGAATCTACTTTACACTGTGATACATGAAGGATATAAGTATCATTTTTTTAATTATACCCCCATGCATGGAGAGAGAGAGAGAGAGAGCCCTTTATACCCCCTATCATATCTTTTCCATCCTTTTTGTCATCAACACTGTTCTTTAACTTTCCTCATTTACCAAATATAGACCCAACTTCCAACCCTCATAATAATAGTAATTATTATTAATTTTAAGGGTTTTGCCTGACTTTTACTGTTGCAAATCGTGATTTTTCTTGTAGTGACAGAACACAGGGAAATGAAATGCGACAAAGAATGGGGCAAATAGTTAATATAGTATACCTCAGTAGGAAATGGTGTGCTCCCTCTACAGTCACTTGGGTTGCCATGCAACCAACTTTCCCTGCTGTGCACAATAAAAGAATATTTCCTATCAGTGGAAGCCATGCATGCAGTTGAGAAAGGGGGAAGGGAGAAAAAGGAATGGAAAGCAAACTGAGAAAAAGAAAGACATCTCTTTTTACTGTGTTGTATACATATATACTTGTACTTGTATCTTCAATGGCTCATAAATATATATATTCTTTTTTTTTTTTTTTCCTTTGGTGATAGAACTAAAGGTGGGTGGGGGGGTAGTGAACCCACCTACCCATGTGATGACCCATTAACCAGATGAACATACAAAGACTGCATTCAAGGAAGTTCAAAACAGTGAAGATCAGATAGCCATGGAATATTTTTAATGGCTTTTCCTTTATATATCTACCACCAATTTTCAACATATGGGGACCCTAATTAATCATACTGTGTTAGATTAGGGTTTTGCTTTGATTCTTGTTTTTGTTCTTTTAACTTGTGGGCCCCATCTCAATTAGCCCTGATTTAAGCCAGCAATATCCATAGGAAATAGATATGCAGCATGCCAAACTCCCCAATTCAGGTAAATTTTGTCTATTGGGAATATATATAACAAGTTCTGTAGTACAGTCCAACTTAATTTTAACTGTCAATACTTTAATAAATACTATTCCCATTTTTATCTAAAACTTATAAGGGGAATTTATCAGCACTGGTATCTATGATATCGATCGGATGCAATCATGCAGAAATCGACCTAAATAATATACATGATTGTATCTGATACAAAAAAAAAAAAAGTATTGGGGCCGAGTGGGGCTTAGAAGTCACCCAAACAAATTATATTTGTGTAAATTAATGGGGCCAATTATATTGTAGTCTTGGTAATTGGAAAATCTTTTTCAGTTGTTGATTTAAAAAAAAATAAATAAATTGAAACAGCCACAGGTTCTGGACAAACAGAATATAGCAATGATATGATTACTTCCCCATATATATTCCTTTTGTGATCTATCTTATATGTAGTAGCTTAGCATAAGCTCTGAGAAAGAATCGAATCACCTTTTTCTGCTTACGATTCTAATTCTATTTTCCAGTCTTTCCCCTTTTACATACACATGTAATAGGTATTATTCATACCAAATATATATATATATATATATATATATATATATATATAGAAAAAATATGTTCTTTGATTTACGAGAAAGTCTGCAACTATTACCAAAAAGTGAAAAAAAATATTCAATTACGACACTAGTGACATGTTATGTTACCTCGAAGAAAAGTTGCACCAAAGGCCATGGTAATCTTTGTCTTGGTTATGCATATTTTGTGTTCCTTTCTGAACAGATAACTCCGACTTTCTTGAGGTTTGGACATCCTCGGAAGTGTCTCCGGAAGACCCGTTGTCAAATATCTCCGATTGGCCTATATGTGCAACGTCATAACACCCCAAATTTTAAAAATAAATAAGAAAAAAGAGAAAGAAATTAAATTGCAGTAAGTAAATGCCAAATATTAAGACACCATTAACGTCATAGACCCCAACCTGAAGAAGCTGCGACTGCTGCCTTATCAGTAGTCTTCACAGTCCGATACATCTGCTCACATATAGAGAAAAATACATTTAAAAAAAATTAAAAATTTTATACATTTAGGAGCTCAAAAATAGTACACAATACATTTATATATATATGATATATCAGGTACTATCAATACCAATGGATCAACGGGCATAAAAATCCCACACCTTATCTTATAATAAAATATAACATATATATATGTATGGTCACATTTAAAGCCCTAGCTACTTATCTTAAAGGCTAGTACTGTATAGGGTTCCTAGTACTAGATGTGGACCTGGGAGCTTGATATGTGTAATGCGAAGACAAGCAGTGAAACGATGAAAAACTTTTTGCATGTGCCCTATGTATGTATAATAATAATCTACATACATACATGCATGTCTCTATATATAATGTATGTATGCGTGCATGTGGACATACATGGTAACATGAATGTATATTAGTTGTTTTAAGGTGAAGATCGAGCGAGCGAAACCCGAAGTCACTATCGAAAGTTTAACCATTTAGTTTTTATAAAATCATATAGTTTTGTACTTGCATAATCATTCTCATCCACACACACTAATTGCATTCATGTTTTCCAGAAACAATAATTATAGTAAGAAGATTGAAGGTGGTGGAGACAGTGTCTATGATTATTGTTCTCAACTGTCTTTGTCTTACTTGTTTCTGATTGCACCCTTATTATTGATAAATCATCACTCTCTCTCTCTCTCTTTATACGTGTGTATATATATACACATATATGTATAGAGAGAGAGAGAATCAAGCTGTAGAGCAATTTGCTCACTGCTACTAGTGTACTACTGCTACTATCCCTACATGGACGGATGGTTCATTCTTCAAAGCAATAAAAAGCTGGTTTAATTAATTAATACTCCTGCAAACCATCAGATCTATAACAAAAGGATGGCTTAGGTTTCACACTTCTCTCACTTTCTGTCTCCCTTTGTTTGAATGAAAATTAACCAAAAATGTTAAGTAGGTCTGTCACAAAATTGCTTCTGCAACATGTAATTAATAACATTTGTTTGACTTTTTTAAAAGTTAATTCATATACCACTAGGTTAACCTAGAGTAAAAAGAATAAATACCCTCAGTTCTTTGAGTATCTAGTTGTCATATTTACCTAAAAACAGATGGTGATAAAGTAGGAGACATTAACCATTTAACCACAATCTCGAATCGTGCAATGGTTGAACTCGACTGACGCCCAATACTGTACACATTATGACGTAATAACTATGGTTTCCATTGTCACTAAAAAGAAAAAGGAAATAATAAAAATGTCTAACTATTATATATAGAATTAATGTTTTTTTTTAAAAAAAAAAATTGGAATACCTTAATTTTCCTGTAATATAAATGTACCTAATACTTTCTTCTTCTCCTACATGTAGGGTGTACTGGCTAGCAGACACAGAGTCCGAGAGCTGTAACACTTTAACTTATTTGAAAAGTTATTTATGTTAAGGATTTTTCTAAAATACAATCAACAAATAATTTTGAAGATAATCTGGTACGGTGTAGTACAGTAATATTTTATTTTCTTTAATGGAAGAAATAATGAAATAACCTAAAAACTGATTCGGAGTGGTAAATGGAAAGAAGCTAAGGGAAAACGCCATTTTAGGCTTTTCACCTGTAAATGAGATTTCACATGCGCCAAGGTGAGATCTTTGACATCCATGAGCTCAAGAACCGACTTGGGTGTTGCTCCTAGGTGAAAAACAAAGATACCCATTTCAGAAAATCGAAGTAAGATTCATTATTTTTTCCGAAACTGTTTTTTAAAATTGGAAAATCTTGAAACTCAAAGAGGAGGAGGAGGAGAAGCTTATATATAAAATATATACTTTCGTGACCGCCGAGGAGCTCGACGGCGTTAACGAAGCGGGCGTGGAGAGTGGTAGTCCACCGCATCCGCGGCGCTCTCATGCTGCGCCTCGCCGGAAACCTGGCCGCCGGCAGAAACCTCGACCGCATTAGAGCTTGATGATGACGGTGATGGTGGTGGGACTGGGAAGAAGAAGAAGACGGAGAAGACGGTGGGTTTTGACAGTACACCGGGATCCCTCTAATGGGCCTCAAGAACCCAAGCTCCGAGCCCAGCCCAACTTGCTGCTGGTGAAACTGGAACTGGGCGAAATTGTTGCCGCCGTTAATATTTCCGTTATGTTCAGAAGATCGATTAGTATTAGACCATGGATTCGATAGCGAAAGCTCGAAAGAAGAAGAAGAAGAAGAAGCTGCGTTTATAGCAGACTCAGTTTTGGCCATTGAGTTTCTGGTCTCCAGCGCTCTCTTCCAGAAGCTCAAGTCCATCACGTCACCATGATGATGATGTTCTTGAGCTTTAGAAGTCGTCCATGGCGAAGACGAGGGTTTAGCGTTTGGTGGGCTGATACGCAGAGACAAGTCTGGTTGTGCTGGAAATAACTCCATCTATCCTTCAATTCTTCACAATATATCTCTCTCTATATATATATATATAACTACAACTCTTCCCCCTCTCTCTAGGTTTTCTTCTTCTTGTTGATATTAAACTGCAGAAGAAGGTGATAGAAATTGGGGTTTTTCTTACACAGAGAGGGAGAGATGATCAAATGAAAGGAGGTGTGGAGATTTGTGATTGAGAGAGAGAGAGAGAGAGAGAGAGAGAGGTGACAATGTATATGAAGTGAATGGTTGTTTCTTTTGTGTGAAGTATATTTGAGAAAATGACAGTTAATTGATGGGTAAGGGGGTTAGAGGATTGTGGGAGACATTCTATGGCCACACTCGACTATATATAATAAGGAGCATCATATCGAATAAATTCAATAATCCTTAATCTATACATACACACATACACACATACACACATATATATTTATAGTTGCGTGTGACTCCGAGTAATTGTTAAAAACTTAAAATTATATACTCTATTTGTCTCATTTCATAGTAATAATTCGTACAATAAAATTTGACCAAAACTATTATAATACCTGCTTTTATCAAGTACATAAAACTAAATATAACATTCCAAGTTTGACTAAAACTATTATGGTACATTTTTTTTAATAGTAACCATTATGTGAAACCGTATATGACATATAACATTGACCAAAACTATTATAATACTTGCATCAATGGTACCCGATACATGAAACTAAATTATATAACATTCAAAATTTGACTAAAATTATTATGATAATTTAATTTTGTTAATAGTACCATTGCGTGAAACCAGATATAACATATAATATTTGACAAAAATTATTATAATACTTATGTCAATACTACCTAGCACGTAAAACCAAATATAATATACAAAGTCAATTCGTAACAAAACTAGTATATATGATAGATACTACAGTCATAGTACCCACTATGTAAAATCAGATATGTATTACAAGCATACATATTACTATTGACACTAGAGCCGTCAAAATATGCTTACCTTGTCTCGCTAGGTCAAAAGAGCGGGACAAACTTTGAATTTTAAAATCCATATATTGATTGGTTATTTAGTCCACTCCGTCAAAATGGCGGGCTTGGCATGTTGGCGAAGGCCCGCCAAGCCCGCCTAGTATGTTTACATTACTAATATCAGTTTATATATATACATACACCATTTTATATTTTTGAAACAATATAAACCATTAATATATATATATATATATATATATATATATATGTGTGTGTGTGTGTGTGTGTGTGTGTGTGTGTGTGTGTGTTTCTTTATTTATTTATTTATATTGACAAAAATATATTAGTAATTCGTACATTGTATAAATTATTTGGTATTGACTTTTGGATTAACACATTATGTATTAGATTATTTAATTATTATTGTGTTCAATAAATTACAAATACACTTAAATTTAGAACTTTTAAAACTTGATGGGCCCTGCCAAAGCCCGTGGGCCTAGGGTGGGCAACATTCTTTAGGCCCGTATTATTGCTGGACTTTTTAGCCCGTCCTGCCATATGGTGGGCTTTGACGGATCCTATCGCGCCGGCTAATTTTGAGAGCTCTATTTGGCACCATATACTCTTAGAAAACTCTTTAAAAATTATCTTAAGTGCTAAAAGATGATAATTTCAAAATTATAAAGTTATTAAACAAAATAGAATAAAGAGAATAATTTAATGAAGTGGAAGATTATGGTTTATTATTTGTCTATTGTTAAAGATATATATATATATATATATATATATATATACACATATATCATGAGTTCCGGCCAATGGATTGAGTAAAAAAAATTATTTCATTTTGCATTGAGCGGGTCAGGTTATTTATTTTGTTATTTTTACTCATAATTCTTTAACATGTAGTATTTGTAAGAATCAATGCCCCACTACTATGATTCAACCTTGTAACCACCCATTTAGAATGGTAACAGATGTACCATCACACTAGCTACATAGTAGTTGAAAAATTTAGTTACAATAATTTAATTGTATATATAAAATAATTAATTACTAGCAACTAAAATTTATATATTATAAATTAAAAGATCAGATTTAATTTCATTTTTTGCCATAGTTTTGTAGGTGGTAGTCCACTTCAAGTCTTTTTTTTTTTTTTTTTCTTTTTATCAAAACATCCACTTTTGATTCTGGCATGATCATTTTTGTCCTTTAATTTATCAACAAACAATTTAAATATTGTTAAACAAAAAGACATTTCAGTCTTTAATTATGAATTTTTTTCATAAAAATAAACATAAAAAATAGGAGTTCTACATACTTTGTATAAAAAAAGATTCAAATGTATTTGTGTATTTAACGACATTTCAGCGATTTTGTTGATAGAGGACTAGAAATAATCATGTCACAATAATATTAGGATCAAATAAGGATGTTCAAATAAAAAAGGATTAAAATGAATTGTCATATATAAATCTAGGATAAAAAAAATAAAATTAACTCATTAAAATATATATATATATATATATATATATATATATATATATATATATATGAAGAGTTCTTATACGCAAACAATATTAATTTTGAAAATTAAAAATGAATAAGATAAAGTAAAGCTGTTATGCAAAATATGATTGAATGGAAGGAGTATTAGAATGACTAGACAGTACAGTAGTAAGATGAGTGTTTGCTTTTGTGATCGTGGGCGTACGTGGGGCAACTATATAATAATAAGATGAGAAAGGGGATCGGAAGAAAGTAAATAATTAAGGTTTTCTTTAGATTTATTTACCAATGACCTTTTAATTTTTATTTTTTTTTATATAGTATATGTTACTTTCTCTATAAGTTGTAGCTCAAAGGGGTTACAGCCGCAATTTCAAGTGTCTCTCACGTCTCGGTCCGACAGAGCATATGGGAGGATGTAAATCATTGTAAAACAGATGAATACATATACTAGACCTTTGCTTATGTACTATGCACAGTCACGGATGAAACTCGATCTCAGGTTATTGTTCCCAAATTTTATCCATGTGACCAACTGAGCTGTCATGCGGGCAACTTAACAATTAACATTGTCCAAAAATTAGGATGTGAATTAGATTAGTCTACATGTACTAACAAGTTTATTTGGTTTGAGTTAATAATAGAGTAAATTTTATCAATCTATTTTTTTCTTCTTTCTTTTTTGCCTTAATCCTAAAACTTCGATCAAGCTATTGGCATTTTTAGTTGTGCTCAATTAGAATTAAAATTTTAAAGTTAATAGTAACACTGCTATACCTTTACATTAATAATAATAAATATAAATTTAAAACATCATTTTTTTTTGAATGCTTTAAAACATCATTTAATTTCACCCAAATCTCTAATTTTAAATTCCAACTCAAAAACATAATGTAAAAATTATGGACATTTGTATATAATATATAAATCATTTTTAATATTTAAAAGTTTGTTTTTATTTAAAATTTTAACAAATAAAAAACGTATTTACATTTATAATATAATAATTATAATAAGTTTCTACTTTTCATTATTTTTTTTCATCAACAATAATTTTTTATCAAAATTTTATTTTAAAACTTAGTAAAAATAAAACTAAAAGTATAATATTAAAGAATAGTCTACGTACAAGTTTCTATGTATATTTTATTCAAGCTAAGAGTTAATTCCAATTTTGGTACTAAATTTATAGTTTGGTGGTAGTCTACTTTAAGTCTTTTTTTTTTTTTTTTTTTTTTTTTTAAATTAGAACATTCACTTTTGGTCATAGTATTATTGTGGCTTGACTATTTTTTGTCATTTATCAACAAAACAGTTTAAATATCTTTAAAATACAAGGACATATCAGTTTTCAATTGTAGATGTTTTCAAAAAAAATAATAAATAAACATAAAAAATATAGCGGTTCAACCTATTTTGTATTATAAAAAAAAAAGATTGATATATCTTTGTATTTAACGATATTTCAACGATTTTATTGATGAAAGAATAAAAATTGTCATGCCACAATAATACTATGACCAAATGAGAATATAATATTCTAATAAAAAATGACTAAAAGCGGATTGTCATGTCACCTATACGAATAGTAGCTTAGTTTTGAGCAACTCGAGGTATCGGGTTACCCACTAATAATATACTTGAGTACTTTATTCCACACACGTATTATAGATCCTTTAATTTATCTCTCCTCTATTATAATACTGGTTGCTTGTGTAATTCTATAGATATAAAAAATTATGCAACAAAAATGAACACAAACAATTATATAAAACGGTGAAATTACGCAATATGCATAGCTATACGTTTTAATTCTTTTTGTCCTCATTAAGATAGTCGGCGCCACCAGAATGGAAGAAAATGGAAAACTTATAGACAACGTAACACCAGTTTCTGCCTTCAACAGCAAATACACAGAAACAATGATTTTATTGCGATTACTATTTTGAAGGCACGAAATAGTCATTAATCTATCGTTAATTACACTGTTCATCACATAATTCCAACCTCATTTTACTCGATGATAAGAAAAAGGATTTGATCCTAAGACAGTAAAGATGGAGTTTAAATCTTGTTACAGACAATCAGTAAATTGGTTAGGTTTTTCTGTTTATAGAAGTGTATAGTTCTTTTGTTGTTGATAGAATTACATATAATTATATGTGTTTGTATGAATACCTTAGTTGGTTCTTATGTGACAGATTGTGACCAGACAAGACACAAGAGACAATTATATGTATGATATGATATATAGATGTCTTTATCACAAATGGGTCGACATTGTTTTTAATGATAGTCCAAAAGTTTGATGCACAAAATGGTAGCCATGGAAAAAGATGGACCAAAATCTGACTTTAGGCAATTGCATTAATTAGATAATGACGGTGATTTTGGACAAGCTTCACGGAAAATTAAAACGAGGATTTTGTGATTTTTGTCAAACAATTGCCAGTGGGAATTAATTGAATGAACCAACATCGTCAATTCTTCGTTCCCCATAGTTATCGAGTTATGACAAAACTTGAAAAACATTATATTATTCTAAATTGTGATAATCTTATGAACATTATATTGTCAATTGTTTGTTTCTATAGTCATCAAGTTATGATTTAAAACATGAAAACATTAGTACGGAGTATGATATACTAAAGTGTGATAATCTTACTTTTAGATATTCATATATGAAATCTAATTAGTAATATCAATCAGCACTTTCACATCTACCACAAAGTTTATTTCTCAGCGTTTGGTTACAAAGAGAAAATTAGGGAAGAAAAGAATTGTAATTTCATAAGACAAAAAATAGGTGATTTTTTTTTTGAATGCTACTAGCTCTATAA